CCGACATTTTTAATTAACCTACCTGAGGTAGGTTTAGACTGCCGTTTTTTGTATTTTTCAGGTTTTTCGTTTTTTATTTCTTGTTTTGCTTCGCCGACGATCATCAAAATTCTATGATTTGATTGGTCAGATATCACGTGATTCTGCTCCGCTTTAGATCTTCCCTCTTTTTGGAGATATCTAAAGCGGAGATCAATCACGTGATCAACTGCCAATCAAATTTATGTTAGGGTCATAAAAATTGCCCTTCTGGCATTTTTAATTAACCTATCAAGGCAGGTTTGGGCTGTCATTTTTTGTATTTTTCAGGCTTTCACTTTTCTTTCTCATTTGCTTTGCTATGGTGATCATCAAAATTCTATAATTTGATTGGCAGCTGATCACGTGATTTATCTCCGCTTTAGACGACCTCTCTTTTTGGTAAAAGATCTTCAATTGGAAAATTCTTTTTCATTGGCTGTGTTATTATTTAGCACACAACCACCTTTAAAACCTCAGAGATCCCCACAGATTTCTAGACTACATATCAATATTCATTTTAAAGGTTTTTTTTAAAACTGATTGTTATTTTTAGAAATAAAAAAAGCTTTTTTTTTAAATAGAAATCGGTTTTAGAATAACCTTTTAGTATATTGCAGATCATTTCTATATCACGTAAAATACTTAACTATATTACTATATTATACAGTATAAACATAAATAACAAACAGTATCACACAAACACAAACACAACAGGTAAAAAAGTTTCATAGCTGATGGGCTTAATAATTCATTCTTAATAATTCATATAAATAGGCTATTTAATTGATTATAAATACTGTATTAGATATTGCTCTCTTGAACAATCGTAGTTATAGCAAAAGTAACATGCAGTGCGTGATAAATTAAGATTATATATACTGTATAGGGCAGTGTTATTTATCACCTGATTATTTTTTATTAGAGGTTTACCCCTCCCCTTTTCTTAATATAAAAAAAAACAGGTTCTTATATATAATTTTAATTTTTTTTACCCCCAAAAAATCATCTGATTTTTGTTACATCCCATACTGTAAAAGTGTAGCAAAGATATAATAATAAATTTACTTTAAATTTTTGTTATCAAGTTATATTATGTTAAAGTAAGTCTAAAACAACACCAATGAAATGATTTACTTGAGACCACCTAAATTGCAAGGAAATAAGTAAATAAAAATATAAAAAATTAAATAACAAGCACATGAATATAAATTATATTTAAAGTAAGTGAAAATTAAAAAAAAAGATTTATATATTTTTGTTTAAGCATATTTATATATGAGAACACAATTATTAGCTTTACTGTATACTAAACTGTATACAGATTTTTAATAGTATTCTCATAAGAACTCTAAAAATACAAATCTTGAATACTGGTTATATAACTCAAAATTAAGTATATAAAACTACTCTTTGAGTTCTAACAAAAAAAATTTCTTGCTAAAAAATACAACTTTTCACTTGCATACTATCATAACAAAAAAAAGTTATGGTAGCTACAAATATATTAATCCTTTTTGTAATTAGTTAATCAACATATGATATTACTTGAACATTTGTTTTTAACTAATCTATACTACATTCTACAGGTGCGTAATAAACTAATAAAACTCATAAATCTGAAATTATCTTTACATCTGTTTCTAGTTATTTTCACAAACATATTTGCCACCATTTTTCGCAATGTATCTGTCATCTGAATGTGTTAACGCTCTGAAATACTCTGGTATGATATATTATGAAGGTGATTTTTTACAATAATCTTTATAGTTAACTTGTAAATATTATAGCTTTTTGGCAGAACACAAATGATCCTTCACTCAAAAACTTTTTAGAATTCCAACTCCAAATGGGTGATTTGAAAGATCCAGAATTAGAATATAGATGATTCAATTTTGAACTAAATAATATTATTACATACTGTGATAAAACCACTGAAATCGGAAAGAGAGCTTTAAAATAGAATGAAAATTTTAAGGTGAGAATATTTATTTTATTTATTTGTGCTGTTTCAGAGAAAGGCTATATATTTCAACAAACTTTGTGAGTTGCTTACTTGCACGGATATCTTATGAGTTGCTTATTTGTAAGACAAGAGTTGTTTACTTGTCTGTTTTAGTCTTCAGATTGCTTATTCACACAGACACCTTGTGAGTTGCTCACTTGCAAGGCAAAAGTTGTTTACTTGTTCTGTGAATTGAGCATACAGTACTATTTTGCATGTTGTGTTTGATTAATTTTATATAGTGTTAATTAATTCTATAATCTGATTTTCTATAATAAGAATGATAAAAAGTCGAAATTGATAAAACTCTTTTGGCAAAAACAAAACATTATTATAGAATCTGAAATAATTGATGAAAAAGTGCAATTGCAATGGGTATATTGTCTTTATAAAAACTATTTTGAGCCAATATATTTTTTTTTAAGCTCATTATATTTATTTTTAGAAAGAAGAAATACTAGAATTCGAAAGTATAGGTCTCAATCA